GATAATAAGACAGAAAATATCTTCTTTCCTCTATATAAAACCATGGTACAGCCACATCTTAAATACTGTGTATAGATGCGGTTGCCTTATCTCAAAAAAGATATATTGGCATTGGAGAAGGTTCAGAAGGGGGCAACAAAAAATGATTAGCGGTTTGGAAGGGGTCCCATATGAACAGAGATTAAAAAGACTTGGACTTTTCATCTTAGAAAAGCGGAGACTAAGGCAGAATACGAGAGAGGTCTATAAAATCGTGACCGGTATAGAAAAAGTGAACAAAAGTTATGTACTTACTCCCACAATAAAAGAACTAGGGGTCACCAAATGAAATTAATAGGCAGCAGGTTTAAAAACAAAAAGGAAGTTTTTCTTCACTCAGTGCACAGTCATTCTGTGGAACTCCTTGCCAGAGGATGTGGTGAAGGCTAGAACTTTAACAGGGTTTTCTTTTTTTTAAAAAAAGAAAGTTAGATAGATTCATGGTGGTTAGAGGTCCATCAATGGCTATTAGCCAGGATGGGTAAGAATGGTATCCCTAGCCGCTGTTTCTCTGGAGGTAGGTGACAGGAGAGGGATCATGTGAGGATTATCTGTTGTGATCCTTCCCTCTGGGGCATCTGGTATTGGCCACTGTTGGCAGACAGGATGCTGGTCTAGATGGACCTTTGGTCTGACCCAGTTATGGCTGTTCTTAAGATTTTACTTTTTCTAAAACAGCCCCTGCCTTCAGATCAGAAATATATTGTTTTGTGGATATTCAAGAGACTCTTTACATTGCAACCATACCTATAACGTTGCATTGAGACCTATGTAGTGATCAATATCACTCACACACATAGAAAGTGACCTCCAACCGGATCTGCCTGCAGATGCGACCTTCTGTGCACAACTCCCTCTTGCCATGTGCAAATGGCAAACAACAACCAAAATAGCACCAGCTGCCTATCCCTGGATGTCTCCAGGGATCTTTACTACCAGGTGTAGAAGAAGCAGGTTGGTTTGAGCTGGAGAGGTGCATGCATTAGCCATCAGATAGCCATCTGGAAATCTCAGAAATGGAGACTCGGGGCAGCTGCTGTTCAAGTTTTTCAGGTATTCTCTTACCAGCTGTTTTAGCAAAGATTTTAATCAGGTCTTCCCTTCTTTCTTACTTTCCTAACCTAACCTGCAACTGGATCCACCCAAATAAACCTTTGCATAGCCACATGGATCCAAATATAGGGTTAAACTGGAGCAAGAAACACGAGTTAATTGATTTCACTTCCTTGCTCATTGATTATTGTGGCTATTTTCTGTCTTGTACTGTTTACTCTCATATCTTTACAAAAGTCATTCTGCTTGTGTGCCTCTCCCATTATTTTTATATTACAGTAGCATCTAGACAATTCTCATATTAAGTTCAGGGCCCTGTTGTGCTAGGTGCTATTCAGACACAGTTGAAGACCCCCTCTGCCCTCAAGTGCTTATAGTTTAGTCAGGTGGGATGAGGGGGAACAAACAGAAGCAGGGAATCAAAGTAATTGCTTACTTTTAAGGTGAAACAGCAAGTCAGTGACAATAAGAATCCAGGTTTCCTGACTCCTAATCAAGTGCTCAATCTTCTAGACAAGATTGCCTCAATTCCAGTATGGGGGGGTTGGTTCCTTTTTCTCAAATTCAAACCCTTGCAAAGTCACTGCAGCCACTAATAACTCCCTTGATTTTTTTCATAAGGGGCCCTCTATAAAGTCTCCCCCTCTGTCAACAACAATTCTGCTTCACTTCATTTCCATTGCCCCTGACATCTCTTTTCTGAAGAGCCAGGTGCTGAGAAAATGAAGTGAGTCAAGCCACTGTGAAAGGGATTGCCTACCAGCATGGCAGCAGGACAGGCTTTTTGTGAAGATGAGAAGTAGAGCCTCTCTTACTACTGTCCTGATGCCACGTAGTAAGTAGCTGTGGGCTTAAGCCTGTCAAGCACTATATCAGGATACCAATGCCAAAAATATACCTGGGAAGGAACACACACTCCCAATGTCAGGAAGTCTCTTTGCAAGTTGGGTTTCCACAAATTAGGAAAAGAGGTGCCTGAAATGCAGCTCCCTAACTATATTTTGGTGTAAAAACAGTGTGCTATCACTGAACATTGCTGGTAGGTGGTGCAGCAACATGATAACTCTTCCTTAATTTCTCCATTAGAGTTACCAGAACATTCAGCATGGCTTTTATGTATCAAATACACCCTCAGCCTCCAGGGGTCTAATTTGTTAATGGACAGTTCAACAAATAGACGGCAGACTTTCACCCTAGCTACTTAGCAGAAAGGTAGGCACCATTTCAGTTTATCAGTGCCACAGCCAGACCCTTAAAACACAAGGCACTCAATCTTGATTCTTTACCTGGAGCCAGGGGACTTCTGGCAGCAGCTCTTTTGCCAAGCAGCACACACCTCCTTGCAAGCTTGGGCTCTTAGAGATATCCTGGGAGGTGCCTCTCTTGAGTTCCTTTCCTTAACAGTTTACCTTCTCTATTCCTTAGTGAGAAATGGCTCTCCCTGGGAGCTCTGATAGTCTTTCACAAGGTGCAGGTGCTCATTAGCCAATTAACCGCAAAGGCCTCAGTTACTCACAGGTGAGTAGACATGGGATTGTTCTCTAGCACATTAGCCCATAACTCCCCTTAAAGGAGACAGCCACCCCTGAGACTAGTGCTCCATGTAGGAAGGAACAATCAGTTTCACACATAGGCTTTTGCAGAAAAACTTGCCAGCTGTCTACACTGGCCACTTGAATTTCCGGAAAAGCACTGATGATCTCATGTAAGATCGTCAGTGCTTTTCCGGAAATACTATGCTGCTCCTGTTCGGGCAAAAGTCTTTTTCCGAAAGACTTTTGCGCAAAAGGGCCAGTGTAGACAGCACAGTACTGTTTTCTGCAAAAAAGCCCCGATCACGAAAATGGCGATCGGGGCTTTTTTGCAGAAAACCACGTCTAGATTGGCCACGGACGCTTTTCTGCAAGAAGTGCTTTTGCGGAAAAGCATCCTGCCAATCTAGACGTGCTTTTCCAAAAATGCTTTTAACGGAAAACTTTTCTGTTAAAAGCATTTTCGGAAAATCATGCCAGTGTAGACGTAGCCCTACAGAATGGAAAGTGACAGTCTGGGAAGGAGTACAGCAGAAAGGGATCTAGGGGTAATAGTGGAACACAAGTTAAATATGAGTCAGCAGTGTGATGCCGTTGCAAAGAAAGCAAACATGATTCTGGGATGTATTAACAGGTATGTTGTGAGCAAGACACAAGAAGTCATTCTTCCGCTCTACTCTGCGCTGGTTAGGCCTCAATTGGAGTATTGTGTCCAGTTCCAGACACCAAATTTCAAGAAAGATGTGGAAAAATTGGAGAGGGTCCAGAGAAGAGCAACGAGAATTATTAAAGGTCTAGAGAACATGACCTTTGAAGAAAGGCTGAAGGAATTGGGTTTGTTTAGTTTAGAAAAGAGAAGATTGAGGGGGGACATGATAGCAGTTTTCAGATATCTAAAAGGGCGTCATAAGGAGGAGGGAGAAAACTTGTTCATCTTGGCCTCTGAGGATAGAACAAGAAGCCATGGGCTTAAACTGCAGCAAGGGAGGTTTAGGTTGGACGTTAGGAAAAAGTTCCTAACTGTCAGGGTGGTCAAACACTGGAATAAATTGCCCAGGGAGGTTGTGGAATCCCCATCTCTGGAGATATTTAAGAGTAGGTTAGATAAATGTCTATCAGGGATGGTCTAGACAGTATTTGATCCTGCCATGAGGGCAGGGGACTGGACTTGATGACCTCTCAAGATCCCTTCCAGTCCTAGTATTCTATGATTCTAGTTATCTCATATAGGAGGAACAGTAAAAATACAACTCAGCCAAGAGAGAAAACCCAAATAGACAGTGCTGTCTCCAGGACCCTGCTCACTGAAGTCAGGAAATTCTAGTTGTTTATCAGTATGTTACTGATGAAGGAGGCTAGGTGCCCAACACAAGTCTCTAATCTAATGGAGCGGTCTCAAATTGAATTTACCTTAGGGCTAGTGCCAGTCCTCAAATCCTTCTAGTGAGACACTGGGCCTGCCTTTTAGCCCATGTCTTTTCCTCCCCCCTCTATCCCATGTGTCCCCCAGCTGCCCCTGGGTGATTTAATACTCCTGCAGACTCCAGCACTACTGCTGGTAGGGCAGTGGGGCTACAGCAGTTTCTGGCTGCTTGCGCTGTACCATTGCCCACATGTTCCTGTGGCCGGCAGCAGGGGCACCCTCCACCCCCCCCAACACACACACCGCGGTAGCCGGAGACATGAGGACGTGGAGTTACACAGCAGCCTGCTCTGCGCCACAGCCACCTCCCAAGCCAGCCTGCACTGGGGCTGGGGCACTTCACTTCCCACTGATGTAGTGAAGCAGAGTGAGCGGGGTGGCCTGGGAGATGGCAGCGCAGCAGAGCAGAGGCTGCTACAATGCTCTGCTTCCCTGCAGCTCCGGCCATGGCAGGGGGAAGCGCTCAACATCTGCTGATAGCCTGTGCCAGGCCTCTAGTAACCTCCAAGGCCAGATCCTTTGAGGGAGGGGGCTTGAGGGAAGGGATGCGATTGGGGGGAAGGAGGGAGAGGGAAGCAGGGCAGGATTGGAGCAGAGCAGGGGCTGGATTTGGGGGATGCGTATAGACATACACAGTCCCAGGGATGCAGGGACTCACTTGCCAGCCCCTGCTCACACCACAGCTGGCCCGTAGGCCATGAATTTGAGACCTAATGCAAATACTGGCTGGTGTGTGCTGATGTTGCACTCTTGGTGCTGACAAAGGAAGAGTAAAAGGTATACAAAAGTAAGGGAAGGTCGCCTTGCCTCAGGTGGCAGAAGACAAATGTTTTTGAACCTGAAGCTGTTACACTAGTTAGTCCTAGCTCTGTGTGTGTATGGTGGCGGCGGGGAGGGATGTAAAGCATGGTAGCATGTGTGTATAATATAATGAATGACTTCGTTATGCTGACCTCAGGGGCTGAGCCAGGAGGGCTGGTACGGTGTCCTCCAGCATTAGGAAACCTCCTCAGAGAGTGCTGCACACATTGTTCTATCTTGCCTCCAATGTCAAGCAGTAAAATCAGGGCTCATCATGTGATACTGCACCCTTCTCCTCACAGCAGGGCCAGGCCAACCATGTGATTGTCATAAAAGTTCTCTATGACAGAATCCCTACCCTACTATGACACCACAACCTGTATTGCACAGAGACATTTAAAGTGGCCTGACACAACTGAGAGACAATGAGAAACTCCACATAGGTATTTCTATTTCCAAGGGGGATACAGTTTTCACACAATAACCAGACCCTATTTAAGGGCCTTGTGCCAGCCTAGTTTACCTCAGTGTGAGCAGCACTCTACAAGCTATGTGAACCTCCCAAACTGTAAAGCTTGCCACCTAACATGCTTCCGTCTGACCACAGGCTGCAAAAGCCAAGCTTTGTCTTCACCCCTAGAGCAGAGAGCAGGATGGGGGCCTGTTTCCCCTTGATTGAAAGCATTGCAGGAGGCAGTGATCATGCTCAATTCTTCCCTGACAGCTCAGCAGGAGGTAAGTTCGTCCCTTCCTGATTGAAAGTCATCTAAAAAGAGGCCTGAAGACTGTCTCCCACCTGAAAAAAAACCTTTCTGAGTTATGAGTATAACCAAAGGAAAATCAGAACAGGCAGCTCCTGTAATAACGAAGAGTACCACCATGCCTGGAGAACAGTGACCTCAAGTATAAGATGCAGAGGGAGCTTCCACACCCAACATTTCTGTCATGTGACCATAAGGAGGCGAGCCCCCACCCTAAAATCAGCTGCCCTTCATCAGAGATAAGAGGCTACCCAACTGTCTCCACCATCGAATGCCATTTCTTTTAAGCAAATAGCCAGGTTAATTCTACTGGAACTCCTGCTTTTTGCACAGAATAGTGGAAAAAGAGGCCCCACCTAGACATATATTTGTTGCTGAATGGGACCTTGTGGCTATGATACAAACAAATATGATTGCCAAGAATGAATTCTACATCTAGTAGCCTGCAAAATACACTGGAAGAGTGTGATATCATATAGTTGATAAGGTAGTGAACTGGGAATCAGAAAACTTGTTTACTGACTGCTTCTGATCTCCTCTGGATACACTGGACAAGTAACGTCATCTTTTTGTGCCTCAGTTTCCACACCTGAAAAATACAACCTCCTATGTCTTATTTTATGAAATACTTGGAGATTCTATGGATGGAAAACTAATCTATAATGATATTCTAAATGTTCCTTTGAAGCCCAGAATGTCTATCAGTCAATTTGAAGCAATTAAAGGAGCTATAAAAGCTTGGTTGAGAGCTCTTTTTGTGGAGACTAGCAGCAGGCTGGATCATCACTGGGTTTCATAGTCTGTTACCATCCACTCTTTAAAAAAAATTCTCAGCCATTCTGATTTTTACTCCCATGAGGTGTACAGCTACAGTAAGTCATGGTATCTGTCATGCCAAGAGTCTTAGACCATTGTGATATCAGAGATAAGTCAACAAGTCACTAATCACCCTAGAGTTAATTTGCATGCATCATTTTCATTCGTTGTATGAAGGAGACGACACAGATGGTGGATTACTTGGCTGAACTGCCATCCACACAAAACACCATGGCTATATCTACACTGGCAAGTTATTGAGCAAGATCTCTTGCGCAAGAGAGCATCCACACTGGCCAGAACGCAGCACAAGAACGCTGAGCTCTTGAGCAAGAAAGCGTGCACACTGGCGGGACGCCATTATGCAATAACTTGGGCCTGGAACCACTTTGGCCATGTCTAAAGGTCACCAGCGGCGTCTGTGGGCGCGCACCGGACCCCTGCTGGGTAACGCACTTAAAGGGACCCCTGGATGGCAGTTTCCCTGCGGCTGCGTGCAGAGGCACCTCATTGAGGCATCCAGACACACAGCCGTGCCCTCCAACTCAGCCTCTGAGCAAGTGCCCCTGGGCACCATTTCTGCCTTGCTCACAGACATGGAGCTGTAGGAGGATGCCATCCAGCAATGTCCCATCATGCCCATAATTGAGGCTGTGGAGGTCCTTCTGCAGGGACCCACACTGCTCCAGCAGGAACTGGAGACCAGGCAACACAAGCTCGATCAGATGCATGCAACAGCTACACTCGGGCACTCCCACCCCATCACCGACAGGCTCCTAGGCACCCTCGCCCCACCACCGACAGACACCTGTGGAGCCACAACACCAGTGGGGACTGGTGCTGGGACAATGGGGCAACCAGCACTGGGTGCAGAACTTTAGGATGCACAGGGGGACATTTCATGAGCTCTGTACCTGGCTCGCCCCTGCACTCTGGAGGCAGGACACCCGCCTGTGCCCCGCCATCCCCGTGGAGAAGAGGGTTGCGATTGCCCTGTGGAAACTGTTCACCCCATACAGATACTGCTCTGTGGTGAACCAGTTTGGGGTGGGCAGGTCCACCTTCGGTGTGATTGTCCAGCAGGTAAGGACCTCTGTGGACCATGGGCTTGTCCTGGGGGAGGGAAGGGGCCAGACCAGGTGGGGGGAGGCTGTAGGGGCAGGGGGAAGCCCCATACCAAGGGGGTCATGCTGTCCCTCCTGCACACAGCCCCACTGGTGTTGTGGTAAAACCCTGGAGGGCAGAGGGCGCTGGCCTGCGTGGGGGGAGGGACCATCAAAGGGAGGGTGAGCACACCCCAGGGGCCCATGTACGCACTGTGTCTCATTCCATGCACCCCCTGTGCTCCCATGTGCCCCTCTGCAGGTCGTCAACGCCATCAATGACGTGCTGCTCCAGAGGGTGATCTGCCCCCATGACCTGGATGCCACCATTGCCGGCTTCGCCAGCCTCGGGTTCCCGAACTGTGGGGGAGCTGTAGATGGGACCCACATCCCCATCTGGGTGCCAAAGCACCAAGTGGCCCAGTTCATAAACCGGAAGGGCTACTGCTTGGTGGTGCTCCAGGCCCTCGTGGACCCCCTTGTGGACCACCAGGGCCGGTTCATGGATATATATGTGGGGTGGTCCAGCTGGGCCCACAACGCCTGAATCTTCCGGCATGCAGGGCTGTGTCACAGGCTGGAGGTGGGCACCTCTTTCCCCCAGCAGGACTTCAGGATGCCGGTCTGCATGGTGGTGGATGCGGCCTACCCCTTGATGACCTGGCTCATGCAGCCATACACGGGCTGACTGGACCACAGCCAGGCCACCTTCAATGCCCACCTGGACCAGGCCCGAAACCCAGTGGAGTTCGCCTTCGGGTGTCTGAAGGCATGGTTCAGGTGCCGCCTGACCCGCCTGGACATGGGGGTGCAGCACATCCCGGAGGTCAGCTCAGAATGCTGCATGTTGCATAATATTACTGAGGGGAAGAGGGAGGCCTTCCTCCTTAGGGTGGGTAGCAGGTGGGGGTCAGGCCTACCAGCAGCCTCAGACGTCTGCAACCCGGCAGACCAACCGCCACGGGGTGCGGGTCCGGGAAGCTCTCCGGGTGATGCTGAACCAGGCCCCACAATAGGCTGCCCCTACACCTCTGACTTCAGGGATGCCCCCATTTCCCCACTCCCATCACCACCCCTTCCCTCACCTCCCAATAAATAAAATGCACTTGCTTTATATAATGCACTTTTATTTACAAAGGGAAGGGGGTGCACTGAGAGGAGGGAGGAGGAGGCCCTGAACTGGGAGGGCCTCATGGGTGTGGGGGCATCTCTGCCCCTTGTGCCGGGTCGGGACAGGCTGCACCAGGAGGTGCCGATGTTGGGGGGCTGCAGGACGGGGCATGGGTACATCAGG